AAAACTGTGTTGGAAAGGGACCTTAAAGCCCATCCTGTCCCACCCCCTGCTACAGGCAGGGACACCATCCACTAGACTAGGTTGCTCCAAGCCCTGTCCAACCTGGCCTTAGTATTATATACAAGTTCCTGTATATTCTGGTCCCTTCACAGATCAAGGAACTCTTAACACAAGGCTGGTGGCTCAGTTTTGATCTTCCAGTTGTCACTAGTAACTGCTGAAACTCTCAGCACAAGACCTTGGTGTCCTGTGTGCCCTGTACAGGTGTGCACTGCTCACACTTGTCGGATGTATCCTCATCATGACATCTGGCAGATCCAGCCCAGCTCCAAGTTCTCCCTTCACACTCTGCAGGTCAGTCTTGAAGGCTGAGCTTTCCCCTGGAGGTTGAGATTTCTGGTAGTTCTCAGCCTAGAGATAAGAGTTTCACTTGGGGAGGCTCCTTTTTGTTTTGAAGTTGAACATCTTTTCCCTGGATCTCAAATGGCTTTTTTGAGGTGACTTCCCCATGAATCACCTCAGAAATGCAAAAGTTAACAGTTTGGGATACTTCAGGATTTGTTTTGTGCTATCCAGATGCTTCACTAAAACAGTTTTTCAAGGAAAAAAACCACTCGTTAAGGAGTAATAATGTATTGGGCCACTACTTGGAGGGTTTCACAGTACTAATTTGTTGTTTTCAGAAACTAGTGCAGGGACTTCAGTAGCTCATTGATGTTAAATTGTTTTGAGACTTTTCTTAAGTTTAAAAATGAAATTCTGAGTTCCAGAATCTTTGACTTAATCTGAGTGTTCTTATATTACGAGGTGGCTTATCCACCCAATAATGATTTGTTAACCTGATGCATAACAGAAGTCAGACTGGTGAGCAGTTAATGGAGAACTGATCTCCCCTGGCTTCAGGACATGGAATATATTTCCTCTTTCCATGGTGTATTGATTTGATGCTTTTCCACTTTCCTAACATCTGTTGGATCTGAAAGCTGGATTTCACTATCATAGCCAGTGCATATGTGTGAAATAACTCCTGTTCCTGCCCCAAGGAGTTTTGGGTGTTCAGACATCGGTGGGAGAACACGAGAGTCCTCAGGGAGGAGTGATGGGAAGTGAAGAATTGTGAGACTTGGGAGGATAAGCTAACTGAGTTCTCTGTAAAGCAAAATGGGGGAATGCTAACTGTGTAAATATTGGTAAATCCCAAACCTTCTGCCAAGTCTTTTTGATACAGTAACAGCATAAACTCATGTCTTAAATGTAACTGATATCCCAGGGAGATGTTCGTATTTCTTACACAGATAATTTTGCTGCCAGAAAAAATATGATTTTGAATAGTTGTCTGATCCTGATTTATTGTTCTGTCATCACCCACATGAGTGTTGAAAATCTTTTGCCTCAAGCAGAGTTGTTTTCCCCTGAGAAGTCAGTGTAGATCCAATGATTTTTGTCTTTTGCAGGCTCTAGAGATGTACAAAGATGACTGGAACAAGGTCTCGGAGCACGTTGGGAGCCGTACCCAGGATGAGTGCATCCTCCACTTCCTGAGGCTTCCCATTGAAGATCCCTACTTGGAGAACTCAGATGCATCCCTGGGCCCTCTGGCTTACCAGCCCGTGCCCTTCAGCCAGTCTGGCAACCCCGTGATGAGCACTGTGGCCTTCCTGGCGTCCGTGGTGGATCCTCGCGTGGCCTCGGCTGCGGCCAAGGCTGCCTTAGGTACGAGTTTGCCCAGCAGGTTTTTCGCCTTGTCTCTGTCAGTCTGTTCTTAAAGTTGGCTTTTTTTGAGTTTCTTAAGGATGAGTGATAAGTTGTAAAGCCAACTTCGCATGTGTGCAGGAAAACGGGTCTGATGATTGCTCGTTCTGGGTTCTGTTTTTCTGAAATGGCCGATTTACAGGCAGGTTGCCCCAGTGAGGCACATCTGGGGTGTTGTGTTCAATTCTGGGCTTCTCAGTGCAAGAAGGACAAGGAACTACAGGAGCGGGTCCAGGAGTGTCACAAAGACGCTGAGGGGTCTGGAGCATCTCTCTGATGAGGAGATACTGCAGAGCTGGGCCTGGATAGTCTGGAGAAGAAAAGACTAAGAGGGATCTCAGCAATCCCATACAAATACCTCCAAGGGGTGTCACAGGATGGATGGTGCCAGACTCTTTCCAGTGGTTCCCAGTTCTGACCATGACTCCCAGGACAAGGAGTCATGGCCAGAAACTAAACGACAAGAAGCTCCACCTCCACCTGAGGAAGAACTTCTTTCCATGGAGGGTGGCACAGCACTGGCACAGGTGTTCAGGGAGGGCCTGGAGTCTCCTTCTGTGGAGACATTCCAAAGCAGCCTGGATGTGTTCCTGTGTCACCTGCTCCAGGTGACCCTACCTTGTCTCCAAAGGTCCATCTGAACCCAAACTATTCAGTGTGAAGTTAGAAGGGCTCTGAAAGGCCACTGAGTGCTCTCCTTGTGCGCTCTCTACTACTGATGTGTCTGCAAGCACCACCTGGTGGTTGGTGTTACTCTGGCCACTGTCACTAGTTCACCACTGGGTCAGTGCACAATGTGCAACTCTCAGTTTTTCTGTTTTATCTGAAATCATTTCCATAACTGGATCATAGAATCCCAGACTGGTTTGAGTTGGAAGGGACCTTAAAGATCATCTCACTCCACCTCCTGCAATGGGCAGGGGCACCTTCCAATAGAATGTTCAAGTGTTGAGTGGACACGAGATGTGAAACTTGAAGAAATCGTGCTTTTCACTTGTTTCCTTGTTTTTCCATGTAAAACAATTTTATATAATTAGGAAGAGAGTCTTTCCCACCACATTTGAAAGAGAAAATAACTACGTCATGTGAAAAGAAGGAACTTGGTTGAGAATTCCCTTTGTCATGAATTTACCTGCACATTGCTCAGAGAAAATATCACTTTTAATTTGCCTTAAAGCCCCTAGAATGTGACATGTTCTGTGTCATTTTCCACAGAGGAGTTTTCACGGGTCAGGGAGGAGGTACCCCTGGAGCTGGTGGAAGCTCATGTAAAGAAAGTCCAGGAAGCAGCACGAGCCTCTGGGAAGGTGGATCCAACCTATGGACTGGAGAGCAGCTGCATTGCTGGCACAGGACCAGATGAGCCCGAGAAGATGGGTGAGTTGTCCATGCACTGCAGAAACTCTGCAGATGAGATTACTTGAGGACATCTTTTTCTACCTTATAATAAACCATAAGTTCACCTCCAACAGGAGATGGAAATGGTGGGTAAGGAGAGTGGAACAGGTCATTCTGCTTCTCACTTGCAGGTTCAACTCTTGACACCAAATTAATGAATTTGGTACCAGCTTGAGGTTTAGGAGTCTGTTTTACTGCTCTCTCTGCTTGGAAATGCCATGGCTTGGGATGCACAGGGTGGAGCAACCAAAATACCAGAGCAGAACATTCCATGCTCATTCTGTGGGTGTTGGAGCAGTTGGAGGACACTGCCTTGAGTTTTATAGTCACCGTAAAGCAAACTGAGTGGTTTTGGCAATCAGTTTAAGGTGAATCTTGTACATTGCTCACTGTGGAGGCAGCAGAAGAGGAATTTTTGATGAAATGCTGGACTGGCACAGGATAATGCACAGTGTGGTTGTGCATTAATGCTGCTGGAATTCTGCTGCATGTTACTTCTGCACACTAATGAGCTCTGATTTCAGAGCTTGGTGTCAGATGAGCTAATTTCTGTTGTGTTCAGCAAATATTCTGCTATTAAGTCTCTTCTCTGAAACCTTGATAGGTGTAAATTGGTTCTTCATTGCTGTGGAGTGTAAAAGCATATCTGGTGGCAACTTCCTATGAAGCAAACCTCTCTCTGCTTAACCCTTGTGGCTCCCTTCCAGCAGGTTGAGTAGACACTCAGTTCCCTACGTACCTACAACTTCCTCAGACTTTACTCTTTTCATTTTGATACAGATCTACCATCTTGTCAGTGTTGTTTTTCTCTCCCGCACTGTTGGCTCCTGTTTTGTTCAGCTTATCACAAATGATTTTAGTGAGTGGATGTGTAAAGGCACATCTGGCTTTGGGTGAAACCAAGTGGGATGTGATGGAGCTTGACTGCAGGGCTGGATTTGGGATGTGCTCCTGCATTTCATAGCTGACCTGGTGTCACCCTATCTAGGGACATGAGCAAGGTGCCAGATTGTGGGCTGAGATCACGAGGGACCTGTGTGTTTTGGTGCTGTTCAGCTATCAACTGCTACTCATGCAGGGCTACTATTTATAGTACTTCATGTCCATTGCAAAACTACGCAGTCATTTAGATTTTCAAATGCCATTTAACTCATGAAGAGATTTTAAATAGGAAGGAAGCAAACAGACCACTCAGTCCTCCTGTCACAGCACTCAGTTCTATGCTCAGTGGCACAGACTTGATGTGAGGCAGCTCAGTGCCTTGGGAAGATGTGGAGTGTGTGCTGGAAAGGGAACAAACATCTGGAATATTTGCTTCTTGTGTTACACAGCGCTCCCTTGCTCAAAGCTGACAGCAGGCATCGAAGCTCCATTGGAAGGACAAAGCTTGGGGGTTTATTTCAATCCTATCATAAACCAAATCTCAGTGTTATTCCTTCTGGGCCTAAGGTGAATTTGATAATTATTTTAAAATAAGCTCAACTCAAGTCAAATTTTTCTTCCAGGGACTTTGTTTCCCCTTTCTCATATTCTCCATGTACAGGTGTCACTGTAGGATGCTAAGGACCTCACAGAATCACTGAAGTTGGAAAAGACCTCCAAGACCATTGAGCCCAATCTGTGACCCATCACCACCTTGTCGACTAGACCAGAGCACTAAGTGCCATGTCCAGTTGTTCTTGAACACCTCTGGGGGTGGTGGCTCTACCATCTCCCTGGGCAGTCTGTTCCAATGCCTGACAACCCTTTCCAGGAAGAAATTCCTCCTGATGTCCAACCTGAACCTCCCTTGGCACAGCTTGAAGTCATTTCCTCTTGTCTTGAGTGTGTCCTCTGTAACACTGCTCTGTCTTAGCTTCTGATCCTGCAGCCCAACCCTAGAAGTTTGCCCTATTCCCAGCCCATAGCTTGGCCCTTTTTGGTCCTTTTTCTGGGAGAATTTGGTCACAAGTTGCAAATGAAGATTTTGAAGTGGCTGTCATTGAATGTGGGGAGTCAGAGAGCAGATGCCCATAACACAATTACTTCTGAGTGAGCTGTGTGGTGGGTTGCAGGACTGATAGTGCCCTGTCGTCGTTAATGCGATTTGTATTGGGCTGTGACTAATGGAATAAATTAGGACAAGAGCAGATGGTTCTCCCTGGGGGAGCTGCTCAGCCAGAGTGAACTGGGTCACTCTGCAATCTGTGGTGCCTTCCACCTCCAGTGAGCTCTGCACTGGGGGGCATGGGAGGATCTAGAGCTTTCATGGCAGAGGTGTGTCTCCTCTGTCATGGTATTGTGTTGTGGACTACAGCTGCTGAAGTGGAGCTGTGGTTTGGTATGGGGACCTGAGGGTTTGGATATAAATGCAACTATGGAGAATTAAAAGCATCTGCATAGGGTATGAGGGAGCTGGGGGGCAGGCTCAGCCTGGAGAGGAGAAGGCTCAGGAGGCATCTTCTGGCTCTCTCTGACTCCTTGCTAGGAGATGCAGCAAGGTGGGGTTTGGGCTCTGCTTCCCAGAGAACAAAGGACAGGACAAGAGCAAACAGCCTCAAGCTGTGCCAGGGGACTTTCAGGTTGGACATCAGGAGGAATTTCTTCCCGGAAGGGATTGTCAGGCATTGGAACAGACTGCCCAGGGCAGGAATGGAGTCATCATCCCTGGAGGTGTTCAGGGAATGACTGGATGTGGCACTTAGTGCACTGGTCTAGTTGGCAAGATGGTGATGGGTCACAGGTTGGACTTAATAGTCTTGGAGGTCTTTTCCAACCTCAGTTATTCTGTGATTCCATACTGTAATTAAAATGAATTGGTTGGGGTTTTTTAATAGAATCCCAGGCTGGTCTAGGTTGATAGGACCTTAAGGATCATCTCATTCCAACCCCTGCCAGGGGCAGGGAGCACCTCCCATAGCCCACCTTGCTCCAAGCCCCATCCAGGCTGGCCTGGAACATTTTCAGGGATGGAGCAGCTAGAAAACCACACACAAGTGCACATACACATGAGAAGTTATTTTACTTCATTTCTGGCAGGATGATTTCTCTAGTGGTCCCCAGGGTGAGCTTGAACTCCAAAGTGATGCAAACATTGCTAAAAGGAACAGAGTCTGGAGTGCTTTTTTCCCTTTGGGTGTTGCCAGGTGCCTGGGAGCTGTTCTGCACTGCCGGAGGGCTCAGCCCATCCATCCTCTTGTGATGGACTGCAGCAGCTTGGCCAGCTCTCCAGCCTCCCCGGGGGAAGCTCACCTGCTTGTCGTGCCTGCAAGCTGTGTGAGGCAGAAACAGTGGTGACTGTGGAGTTCTGATTTATTGTGGGAAGTGTAAATTATGGTTTAGATAGCAACATCATTATCATATCCAGACCCAGGGTATTTCCATAGCTGTGGTATATTTCCTCTCAATTAAATATTAATATTCCAGCCTGGCTTTTGACAGGTTGTGTGTATTGCCTCAGTGACAACAAAGGAGCTTGGGATGTCTGCAGGGCATCTTTAAACTATTTGCTGAGCTGAAACTCAGACTAGTGATTTCTGCATTTATATGTAGGGTTTTGCTAACTCCTCTTATGACAGTGGAGGTTATGTATCTGCTTATGTTGCATCTGTGTGGTAATGCAGGAAATTCTCACCAGGGAAATGTTTCCGTTTTCCTTGACCTAAAGTGGATTTAAGTTCTCTTTAAAGGCACTGGGCTTGGTCAGAACTCAGATCTAAGTTCTTCAGGTATTAGAAAAGCAGACTCAGTGTTCCTGGAGATGATATGCAAACCAGAACAAAATTCCACGGCGACAGAAAATACTTGTTGCTTCAGGTTTGAAGAGGGGCATGGAGAGGTGATGATTCCTTGTCTCCAAGAGGTTTCTCCCTCTTGAGAGATGAGATGTGATAGCTCAACCATCCGCCTCTTGAGGATGTAAGAAACAGCCTTTATCCCAGGGAACAAGCGTCAGGATGAGAGGAAACAGCCTCAGGCTGTGCCAGGGGACGTTCACATTTTACATCAGGAGGAATTTCTTCACCTAAGGGGCTGCCAGGCACTGGAATGTGCTGTCCAGGAAGGTGGTGGAGTCACCATCCCTGGAGGTGCTCTAGGAACAGCTGGAGGTGGCACTGACTGCTCTGGTCTAGTTGACAAAATGGTGATGGATCACAGGTTGGACTTAGGGTCTTGGAGGTCTTTTCCAGCCTCAGTGATTCTATGAGGTCCTTATTTTGGTTCCCCACATCTTGCAAGGTATAATACCAAACCTGCTCCAATGGGTTCAAGACCATTGTTGGTGCTGTGTGAAAGGGATTTTAGGGGTTTCTCATTATAGGCTTCCCCTCTTGTCCCAGGGACATGGATCTCCAAGGAATCAATTATCTTGTTATCTATTTTCATTAACCTCATTAGATCACACAGGAAAATCAGTACAGTTGAGTTTGTGGCTAACTCAGGGGCCTGAGGCAGTTCTGTCATCTGTGCAGAAGGTCAGGCATGGTTTGGGTGTTCTCTGATCCTTTCATCTTGGAATTAGGGATTAATTTTTGTGGGACTGAACTGTTTTGTGGTACTTCATGAGGAATTTCTCCACAATAAGGGCTGCCAGGCATTGGAAGGAGCTGCTCAGGGAGGTGTTGGAGTCACCATCCCTGGAGGTGTTCAGGGAACAGCTGGACATGGCACTGAGTGCTGTGGTCTAGTTGACAAGGTAGTGATGGGTCACAGGTTAGACTTGGTCTTTGGAGGTCTTTTCCAACCTCGATGATTCTGTGATACTTTGAGGAGCCTGTAAGTTAGAAACAGTGACCTGCTTCATCCCAGGTAAACTAATTCCACCCCCAAACGAATAGCTGATTGCTTTAATTTTGGTTTTCTGCAGTTTGTTAGCATTTTTTCTATCTGGTCCCCTGGCCACACACCAGTGCAGGATGGCTGATGGGAGTGGAGCTGCAGGATGTCGCTGTGCTGTCTCTGCATATAAGGGCTTAGCAGCTAATACAGGACAACAGTTTTCAAAACCCATTGACTCCAACCTGTCTGAAGTTGTCATCCTCACTTTAAAATAACATTTCTTGTTGCAGCCAGGACTAGAAACCTGAAGTTAAATCAGGATGTTTGCAGTAATCTTGCTGTCACACACACCTTCCTTCGGAGTGTGTCCCTGTGGAATGGAAAGGAGCACTTGATTTTGGATGGTGACCGTCTACGTGTTCTGACACAAGGGAGAAGCCAAGGGTAGTTTGAGATGTTCTAAGTGCTTTATTTTGAGAAAATTTTCTTTAAAGAGTAGGTGGGAAGCAGTTTCCGTTTCTGGGATGTCCTCTTTGTTTGGAACTTCTACCTGACAGGAGGCACAGCCAGGTGGGGTTTCAGGCTCTGCTTCCAGGGATCAAGGAACAGGACAAGAGGAAACAGCCTCCAGCTGTGCCAGGGGAGGTTAAGGTTGGACATCAGGAGGAATTTCTTCCTGGCAAGGGCTGTCAGGCATTGGGATGTGCTGACTGGGGAGGTTGTGGAGTCCAGTGGTTGGACTGGACTTAAAGAACTTTTCCCACCTCAGTGGCTGATGATGGCCTTAGAGTTTTCTCAGTGTGATTCAGAATCTAATAAGGAGTGTTGTCAGTGTGAAGTGTTGCATTCCTGAGCAAATCACTTGCAACTGTGTGATAAGAGCCTTCTAGGGAATTTTTTCCCCTCCCTCAGAGTATAAATGTGGCACTGGAGGTTTCTGTGGGAGTTTTTTGGACCAGGAGCCTTGGACATAGGAAGTCTGTGGTCGGACTGAGGCTGGAGTCTGCTCAGCCTGGTTTTGGGCTGGAGAACCTGAGCTCCGGGTTCTCATCTTCCAGAAGAATGAACAAATGATCAAGTCATCACCTTTTAAGAGACAGAAGCCTCCTTGTTTTGACTTAATTGTCCATGAGCAAGAGCTTCTCTGGGCTGTTTCATGCTGACTTGGAGCTTTGTATGAAGCAGAACTTGAAACTTTCTGCCTAGGGTTGTTTATACAAAGTTACAAACTTTTTTCTTTCAGTTATGCTGTATCCCGGTACTGGAAACCTTGGAAGCTCTTGGTCTGTGGGCTGAACCACACCAGAATCAAGATTTGAGTATTTCTGTGCAGTAATGTTGGGGTTTGAGCTTAGCATCTTTCGCTGCACCAACTCAGGCACATTCAGTGTTCTGCACCTTGTCTTCACCTTTTATTTTGCTAAAGGAGAGGATTCAGCTCTCCCTGGAAACCTTCCTCTCCCATTTCCTGGGAGGGATGACACTTTTCAGCCCAGTTTGGAACTCTGCTTCCAGGCTTGAAAGAGCTGTCTGACAAAATCTAATCGAGATTTTCCCTGTGACATTATTAGGTCACTAAATCCTAACTCAGAGATAAAACTTGTGAGGAAATATGGCCTCAAGTCTCCCTAAATTGAATTATGGTGGCAGATAGTTCAGATAAGTAGGTTTATCATCTTAAAATAAGCCAAGAGGAAAAGCATTCGTGTTCAGTCAGACATTTTAGCCTCTTTTTCTTATATATGGAAGGGACTTTGTATAAATTTCTCTACAGAGCTGTTGCTATTCAAGCAAAACACTTTGTACATTGTTTTCCCTCACTGTAGCACACAGGAATTAGCAGGAAAATGAGGATTACTGAAAATGAACACCCAGCACCGGCTGATGTCTTCGGGAGCTTAGAGATGGATCAGGACTGTCACCAGCAGTTCTCCTTCACCGCAGTCCAGGATCTAACTAAGCTCCTTTAATGCCTTTGTACAGTAAATTGGAAGATCCTGGGCCAGGACCATTAGGTTGTGCTGGCACTTTCATCTTGTCCCTTCTGGCAGAGCTGCAAATAAATCAGGATTTCTCAGGCTCTTAAACAATGCCGCAAAATACCAGGACTAGCAGTGCACTATGCAGACACCTTCATGGTGTTCTCCATCAAAGTGCTTGTTGTCTTCTCATATCTGAGACCAGGTGTCATTACAAGACATTTTAAATCAATGTTTTATAAAGCAGTAGCTTAATGAGCCAAGAGCTGGCAGAGATATGTCCTAAGCACAGGAATACACCTAACAGCTCTTAAAACACTTCTTTTATGAGGTAGATGCATCCATCATGTGGCACCAGGGATTTTCTGGCTATTATTTTTATTATTTTTTTTTATTCCCTCATTTTTGGTCTCACTTCTACACCAGTTAGACTGTTATCTAGTCTGTTGTAGATGCTGAAGTGAGATGGAAGTGTTTCAGGCCGGGGTGGATGGGGTTTGGACCAACCTGGTCTAGTGGAAGGTGTCCCTGCCCATGGCAGGGGGTGGGACTGGATGGGCTTTACAGTCCCTTCCAACCCAAACTATTCCACAATTCTGTGGTATGATAGCGGCTCAGCTGCCACTCTAAACCAATCTGTAATACAAGGGTGCCCAGCTCTGTCTTGACAGAACTCTTCAGATACATGCAATAGCTATATGAGTCCAAACAGACAGTAAATAAGAGATTAAAGTCTTGAAAAGCTCAGTCTAGTCAGCTAAAACACCCCCAAAACCCAATCAGTGAGCAGTAATGGGGAGCATGTAGCTGTGTATTGCAGCTGGGGTTTTCCATGCCTGCTGGTGAGGCACTCTGGCAGTGCTCCTGGTCACAGTCAGGTTTTTGTGGGTGTCTCTCAGTTGTTTTGGGTTCCAAATATGAAGGTGTGAGAGGCTGCCTGGATCCACACATCCACGGCGTGGAGAGTGTCCAACCGCTGCTTAGGGCTGTTCCTGGATGGCTTGTACTCTTCTGGTGTGACCTCTGAGGAGAGGAAGACTTTGGTCAGGTACTGGATGAAGATTTTTGATGACCAGTTTAGACCTGGAGGTTGCAGTGGTGCAGGTGGGCTGTCTCTGCTCTCTGCAGATGTCTCCTCCTGGGCACATGCTTGGCACACCTCTCTTGCATAAGGAAATAATCCATGTGTCCAGTCTGGAAGCCTGGTTCCACCTCCTGGAGCAGCCCAGCAAATTGCTACTGCTTGGAGAGCCCAACTGCTGTGTTTGTGGAGAGCCCTTCACACTGTGCAACACCTGCTCACCATACTTGGAGGCACTGGAGAGAAGGAATAGCTCACCCAATGCTCCTCACTGAAGGTGCCACTCAGCTCTGGGGTTTGTTTTTTTAAAAGCTTGGAGCGGCCCAGGCTGTCCTGGCTCAGCCTGTTGGGAGGAGTGTTCATCCAGATTCAGCTCTGGTTCTCATTCCTTGGGATGCAGAGGAAACTTGGAGCTTTCAGTAGTGTAGTATTTTATGTGCTTTTCTTACTGATATCTAACCAACAACCAGCTCTTGTCCTCCAGTGTGATTCATATGCTCAGCACCCAACTGGGCAGCAGCAGTTGAGCTCTTGAGGAGCTTCAGTGCAGCTTTTTTCAGTGAGAAGTGAAGAAAGTCTTAGGGTTTAACTTGGATTGTTTCATTGATCCTCTCTTTGGTGGTACAACCTCCCCAAGAACTGGTGTCATTACAGCTGAGAGAGAAAAGAATGAATGATGAAGGTCTGAGTGAGAACTCTGCCCGAGAAGATCTGCCACATGATATACCTTTTGGGCCAATTTCTTTAGAATTATGATGTCCCAGCATGGTATGTGTTGGAAGGACCTTAAAGCATCCAGTCCCACCCCCTGCCATGGGCAGTGACACCTTCCACTAGACGAGGTTGCTCTGAGCTCTATCCAACCTGGCCTTAAACTCTTAGTGTCACTCTGGTGTTGAATTATTGCTTTGAAGTCTGTGTTGGAGAATTCTGGTGTTTGCAGCACCTGCAAAATGGGATTTAAACCTTCCATGACCTGCAGTGTGCGCCAGTGCCTCAGGATAGACCTTTCCTTGGCAGCAGCTCAGGGGATCCTCTGCTGGGGAGGAATTCCAAGTCTGGCAGCTCCAAAATTGAGGTTTATTACATACCTGACAACCATCCACAGGATCAAATTGGCTTTATTGGGAAAAACATTCTATAAGACTGTGACTTACCAATGAGAATTACTGAATGGCTGGAATTGTGCAGAGCTGTGCATCCAGCTGTCCTTTAGGGAGCTCAGATGGTTGGGTTTGGGGGGTTTCT